GAGCAGGGGTGTCAAACATAAGGCCCAGGGGCCAGAACCGGCCGATCCAGGGCTCTTCCGTGGCCCGGAGCAACTGGGAGGGAGTACTCAGGGGGAGTGGGCGGAGCCACTCCATTGTGGCTTCAGCATGGCAGAACCACCTCGTCTGCAGCAGTGAAGCATCGTGGGAACATCTGCCCAGTGTTGCACTGCTGGTTCTCCAATCCCACTATGTGGATTTTCCTCTGCACCCCCTCCCACCCCACGGGGCCTCGCGGTGAGGATGCACCAACTCGGAACTTACCGGCTGCTGTTCTTTATACAGTTTCTATCTCCAGTAAACTGGCAATACATTTTAAGGCACACATGGCCCGGCCCAACAAAGTGACATTCACGTCAGGTCCGGCCCCTGTGACAAATGAGTTTGACACCTCTGCTCCAGAGTCTGCCCTCCAAAGCCGGTGTTTTCTCCAGGGGAACTGAACTTTGAGGTCCGGAGATCAGTTGTGATTTCAGGCGGCCTCCAGGCCTCACCTGGAGGTTGACACCTCTAGATCCTGTGAGCCACCTCCTCCTCAAACTGATTTTTTCCTCCCATGTATTGCTTCCGCTAAGTCAGAGGCCTCCCGTGTTACTTCTAGGGCGTCCTCGTCCCCTCCCCTGTGTGTTGTACCTGATTTGTCCTGCGTATTTAAGCACAAGTTTTTAAGGTTTTTTCCTCCTTTCTTACAAATGCATAACCGTGTTTCTTCCCAGGCTTGACAGCTCTCCAGTTGGCCGTTGAACATCAAAGCATTTGTTAACGAGACCCACAGAGAGCTCTCTCCGGCTTTGCCGAGGCAACCTTGCATACATCGCAGCAATGATTTTCTTCTTTGCAGATGTGTATTTCTCAAGCGCTAAGCCGTTTTCATCAGCTCCTCCTGCTTTTCTTTTCTTTTTTTAAATTCCTCGACCTAGGAGTCTCTTGCCCTGCACCTTGTTAACGAGACCCACAGAGAGCTCTCTCTGGCTTTGCCGAGGCAATCTTGCGTACATCGCAGCAATGGTTTTCTTCTTTGCAAATGTGCATTTCTCAAGTGCTAAGCAGTTTTCATCACCTCCTCCTGCTTTTCTTTTCTTTTTTTAATTTCTCGACCTAGGAGTCTCTTGCCCTGCACCGTCCTGACTTCATTTCCCGCTCTGGGGAGCGTGTGAAACGCCTGAAGCTGATCATGGAAGAAAGGAAGCTGCAGAGCATGCTGCAAAGTGAGAGAGAGCAATTGTTCGATCCCCCTGAAGAAAGGAAGGCTTATCGGAACGGCCTTGTGTCCAGCGGAGGTACCTGCTGGTAGAAATGAGCTATGATCCAAAGAAGGGGGTTTTGCACGTGCGGGAGAAGTGGCACAATGCATACGGCTGAAGGTGCCGAAGAGGCAAGCAGCTTCTGGGCTGTAAGGGAAGCTTGTCTCTTCAGCAGCAGGGAAAGCTGCAGGGGAAACGAGAAGCAAAACCCTGGCTGCACATATGGTTCTCTCCCATACATTTATTTACTCTAAATATCCTGGATAGATTTGAGTTCGGTAGCATCTTATGGACCAAGAAGATTTTCAGGGTGTGAGCTTCGTTAGAAAGGGAACTTTGATGCTCGAAAGCTCATGCCCTGAAAAACTTGTTGGCCTTTGTGGTGGCTCTGGACTTGAAGCTTACTTTTGTACTGCAGGCCTACCCGCCTGCAAGTCAGGACTCTTTTTGTAGCAGGGACCTGCAAGTAAATAAAATTCATTTCACTGCCAGTTGTGAATTTCCCGCACCTAATCATTTCCCTGACCTGGATGGCCCAGGCGAGCCTGATCTCTTCAACTCTCAGAAGCTCAGCAGGGTCAACCCTGGTTAGTCCTTGGATGGGAGACCACCAAGGGAGGTCCAGGGTTGCAACGCAGAGGCAGACAGTTGTCAGCTCGCTGCCATAAGGGCTGGTGTGGAGGGGGAAGGGACTCCTTGGAATGTAACTTTCACTTCCTTGCTGTCTGGGTGATGCACCCTTATCTGTACGGTTTATGTGTATGACCTTGGCTCCTAGTTGTAACCTCATCCTCTGGGAACGAAGGGCTGTTAGATTCTGGCGGGCCCTGCGTCTTACCTTGATTGGCTCTCTGCCGCCCTGTGCCCTTCTTTGAACCCAGGATATCTGTCTACCCCGCGCTTTCCCCTTTAGTCTTGACACAGATCCTGAAGTAGTGACGTTCTGCCAATGCTGATCGATAAACTTTCCTTCTAAAGAAGCAGGTCGTTGATTCTGGTTGTTGCAGGAGTCTGACAGCAGTGGCCAACCCCGTCTGTTGGTCTCTTGCCTTGAAAACCCCATGGGGTCTCTGTACATCGGCTGTGACTTCATGACATTTTCTATGGCCACCAACACACAGCTGTTGCCACCATTCATTCCCCCCTCCCCAGCAATTTCCCCGGGAACCTTGGTTTGCCCTGGAAGCTTTCTGGAGTCGTGCGGAAGCAGTTGACCGGCCTCCGCCCCTCTTCCCTGGCCATGTGCAGACGCAGCATTGTTTCATGTATCCTGCCAGTTTGGTGTAGTGGTAAAGTGCGCGGACTCTAATCTGGGAGAACCGGGTTTGATTCCCCACTCCTCCATATGCAGCTGCTGGTGTGACCTTGCGCAAGCCATAGTTCTGTCAGAGCTGTTTTTGAAAGAGCAATCCTCAAAAGAGCTCTCTCAGCCCCGTCTACCTCACAGGGTGTCTGTTGTGGGGAGGGGAAGGGAAAGGAGTTTGTAAGCCGCTCTGAGACTCCGAGTGAAGAGCAGGGTATAAATCCAATCTCCTCTTCTTCTTCATCATCCTAAAGCACATTTAAAGTTAGATGTTGCTATTGGACAACATGTAATCCTAGCATTGCTGGCTGACACCCCCTGTGAACAGGGAGCATTCCACAATTTGTCAAGAGTCCCACGGACAGAGGAATTGAAGCCGATTCGGCGCCACTCACTCAAAGGGCTTTTTAGCGGCTATGCTGGCAGCTCTAGGGGAGTGAGGCGACCCGAGAGTAAAGGATGTAAAAGGAATAAAAGTGTGCACCAGCTCAACGCGCACCCAGGCCAGAAATTTCCTGTGCTGTTCTGGGCGTGTTGCCATGTGGCATTCTCTTTTTGGTGTGGGCATTATAGCGCCCATGTATTTAGTGCCTTCCTTCAAAACGCTGAAGCCAGCGTCCATTCTTCGTAGGTTGAACTGGTCAAGGAGAGCCAGTTTGGTGTAGTGGTTAAGTGCGCAGACTCTGATCTGGGAGAACCGGGTTTGATTCCCCACTCCTCCACTTGCACCTGCTGGATGACCTTAGGCAAGCCGTAGTTCTGATAAGAGCTGTTCTTGAAAAAGAGCAGTTTCTGGCAAGAGCTCTCTCAGCCCCGCCTACCTCCCAGGGTGTCTGTTGTGGGGAGGGGAAGAGAAAGGAGTTTGTAAGCTGCTCTGAGACTCCCTTGGGTAGTGAAGGGCGGGGTAGAAATCCAATCTCCTCTTCTTCAAAGTCACCCAGTGAATTTTGTAGCAGACTTGGGAACTCGAGCAGGCGTATTCCAGATCCTACACTCTAGTTAGCCCGGGGGTCTCCAGTGTGGGGCACCTTTCCCGATGCCCACCAGGTGTTTCTAGAAAGTGGGTGGGCCAGTTGAGGGGGGGTTTGCCCAGCAAGGTTTCTGATTGACCATTGGAAATTTGATTGGCTGTATGGAGTTTTAAAAGCATTGCTTTGGCAGCAGCCGCCGCTGGACCATGAGGATCTTCACTACGTGACTGCGGGTCAGCCGTGGGAGTTGTTTGAGTGGCTGCCTCCACTTCCTGCTGCAGCCATTTTGTGGCTGTGTCCAGTGTTCCCTCTAAGCTGAGTCAGTGTGAGCTAGCTCACAGCCTCCAGCTCACACATTTTTGTCTTGGCTCAGGAAGGACATGGATCCAGAGCAATCTAATTTATGCGGCAGCCAAATGGCTGTCTCCCAGCTTTAATGCCAGCAGCTCACAAGGTAGATTTTTGCTCACGAGACTCCACAGCTTAGAGGGAGCATTGATTGGGAGTTATTAATCACTTTCTGTTTTAAGAGATGGTTCTGCTTGGGAAATATGTGCCCAGAGTTAAGCGGGAATGGCTGGGTATCTGCTTCATTACTTAAACTAGGCAATGCCACGGCCATAGGCCACTTTCCTTGAACACACATAAAGCTGCCTTACATCGAATCAGACCATCAGTCCATCAAGGTCAGTGTTGTCTACTCCAGGGTCCCCAGCGTGGCGCCCGCCGGTGGCATGGCCAGTGTTCCCTCTAAGCTGAGTGAGTGTGAGCTAGCTCACAGCTTTTTTTAGCCTCCGGCTCGCACATTTTTGTCTTCGCTCAGGACGGAGGGCTCCAGAGCAAACTATTTTCTGCAGGAGCCAAATCGCTCCGCTCACAACTTGAATGCCAGTGGCTCACAAAGTAGGATTTTTGCTCACAAGACTCCACACAGCTTAGAGGGAACGCTGGGCCCGTGTCAGACTTCCAAGGCTGCCCACAGGTTTAAAAAGCTGGGGACCCCTGCTCTAGCCACCACGCCACACTGGCCGCCATGGATAGATAAACACAAAAGAGACGTTGTGAGATGTGTAACCTTTTTGGATTGTAGAACAAAGTTCTCCCCATATGTTCCCCAACGAGCACTACGGTCCGGGACTAAACATCTCCCGGTGGTTCCAGGTCCCAAAGAGGCCAGACTAGCGGCGACTAGGGCTAGGGATTTTTCAGTGGCGGCTCCTACCTGGTGGAATGAGCTCCCAGAGGAGACCCAGGCCCTGGGGGACCTTGCACAGTTCCGCAGGGCCTGCAAGATGGAGCTCTTCCGCCAGGCGTTTGAGTAGGAGCCACCACGACCGTTACCATCTGTCCTAGCCCTTATTACCAACTCGCCGTGAGTGCAAAAATGGTGGTACTGCGTGGAGCTGTGGCCACTAAGGATACCATCCTGGTGACGGCATCGGTTCCCTTGTTAGTTGTTGTGGAGAGCACTTATGTTGCACTAAATGTTTTTAAAAGGCAGTTTTAATGTTTTATGTATTGGGCATTGGCCCCATCTGTACGCCGCCCTGAGCCCGTTCGCGGGGAGGGTGGGTTATAAATTTAAATAAAGAAATAAATAATAAAGAAATAAAGTTTTAGTCCAGGGGCACCTTTAAGTCCAACGAAGTTCTATTCAAGCTGTGAGCTTTTGTGTGCCCCTGGACTCGAACTTTGTCCTGTTGCTTCAGACCAACAGGGCTGCCCACCTCGATCTGTTTTTGAATCGTGCCCCACTCCACGCTTTCTGTCTTCCCTCAGGCCACCGGGCTATCCAGAGATCCAGGTCGATTTCCAAGTCCGAAATGGTTCAGCGATCCAAACGGTAAGGCCGGGCTCAGCCGTCCTTCCTAGAGACTCTTTAGCGTTGGATCTGCCGTCGTTTCTGTCCGAAGTATTCGACGTGGCAGAACGGAAAGGGTTTGCCTAAAGTCCAATTTCTGGTGGAACAATAAAGTGCTTTTGACTCGGTTCATTTCTGGCAAATGAGTGTCCTGTATAGAACGACAGATCAAGGTACTGGGTAGGGAAGAACAGTAGTAGAGGATGTAGGGATAGTGTAATATTTGGGACCAACGTCCCTTAAAGGTAAAGGTTCCCTTGCTCGAAAGCCAGTCGAGTCCGACTCCAGGGTTGCGGTGCTCATCTCCGTTTCAAAGCCGAAGAGCCAGCGCTGTCCGAAGACGTTCCCGTGGTCATGTGGCCGGGATGACTAAACACCAAGGCGCATGGAACGCTGTGACCTTCCCACCGAAGTGGTACCTATTTATCTACTTGCAATTTCTTGCTTTCGAACTGCTAGGTTGGTAGGAGCTGGAACTAGAGACGGGAGCTCACTCCGTCACGTGGCAACTCGGGTCTCGGAACTGCTGAACTACCGACCTTCCGCAGCCTGCAGTTCAGCGTCTTAACCACTTGAGCCACCGCAGCTCCATAGTGTAATATCTGGGACCAACGTCCCTTATGTATCTTAAATAAGCTGTTTTACACCTCGGCGTCTAGTCATGCTGGCCACGTGACCACGGAAACGTCTTTGGACAGCGCTGGCTCTTTGGCTTGAAAACGGAGATGAGCACCGCAACCCTAGAGTCGGATTCAACTGGCTTTTGAGCAAGGGAAACCTTTACTTTATAATAGTTAACTTTATCTTCCCAGGAGCATTATATCTTTTAGCTGTAATACATGTAAAAGGGCTTCGGTAGAGATTTGGTGGAGCTGCGGTGGCTCAAGTGGTTAAGACGCTGAACTGCAGGCTGTGGAAGGTCAGTAGTTCAGCGGTTCAAGATCTGGGTGCCGCAAGACAGGGTGAGCTCCTGTCTCTAGTTCCAGCTCCTGCCAACCTAGCAGTTCGAAAGCAAGAAATTGCAAGTAGATAAATAGGTACCACTTCGGTGGGAAGGTAACAGCGTTCCGTGCGCCTTGGTGTTTAGTCATGCCGGCCACATAACCACGGAAACGTCTTTGGACAGCGCTGGCTCTTCGGCTTGGAAACGGAGATGAGCACCGCAACCCTAGAGTCGGATTTGACTGGCTTTCGAGCAAGGGAAGCCTTTACCTTTACCTTTAGAGATTTGGTGCTAGGTAACAGAAACGGATGTGACAGGCTTGCCCGATCTTGTCGGAACTTAGAAGCTAAGCAGGGTCAGCCTTGGTTAGTATTACGTGGGAGAACACCAAGGAAGGTAACCTCTTCCCACAGAAGAATCATACGTCCGTTCTGGTTTACCGCTAGGATCTACGAGCAGCTGCCCGAGGTGCGGAAAAGGCGAGAAGACGAAAAGAGGAAATCAGACTACCTGGCGTACCGATTGAAGGCCCAGCGTTACAAAACGGTAGGTAGGAAGGCCCAGCCAGGTGGGAGGTGACAGCGGAATATTGCTGGCAGTTCCGTCTCGAGACCTTGAACGGCCGCCCAGGTTAGCCGCAAGCGCCATATAAAACCGCATGCTAGCTGGTCGCTATAAGGAAACCCCAGTAGACCAACGTATCTGCATATGTGGGCAGTCAGTGGAAGACCTTCCCCGTTATATTCTGGCCTGTCCTTTACACATAGAACCTAGGACCAAATTTTTAGCAAAGATATTGACAGCCCTATACCCCCTGTCTGATTATGATAAGATGGCCTTTAGGCTCTCGGATGAGGATCAGTTTGGTGTAGTGGTTAAGTGCGCAGAATCTAATCTGGGAGAACCGGGTTTGATTCCCCACTCCTCCACTTGCACCTGCTGATGTGACCTTGGGTCAGTCACAAGCTCTGGCACAGCTGTCCTTGAAAAAAAGCAGTTTGTGTCAGAGCTCTCTCAGCCCCACCCACCTCACAGGGTGTCTGTTGTGGGGAGGGGAAGGGAGAGGAGTTTGTAAGCCGCTCTGAGACTCCAAGTGAAGGGCGGGGTATAAATCCAATCTCTTCTCTTCCTCTTCTTCTTCTTCTCTTCAAGACTGACTCTCTTTGCCTTGGCCGTGAGAAAAATGAGAGCAAAGAAATCAAATAGTACCATTGCAACGAAGTGAGTGTTCTTAAAAGGTCTTATCGGATTTAAATGTTATAGGTTGAGGTAGTTTTAACGGGTTTCATATGTTTTGTAGAGGTTGGATTTTTTTTTAATCATATGCTAATGCACAAACTCTCTGAGAGTGTTTGATATTGTGAAGGCCTATGGCCGCATACAATAAAATGATTCCGATTCATATAAAACTGCCTTAAACTGTGAACTGTACCTTGGTGCCAATACTAACCAGCACACACTTTCGGGGAATAAGGTCGGTGGCAAATTGCGTCTCGTTCAGTTTCTCAGTGGGAAACTGGGGTTTGGGCAGACGAGAGTTTCCCTCCAAACGATTTTTATGTTTCTGGCCATTCGTGCTGTGTTGTGACAGTAAAAGAAGCATTTTGTCTCTTCATGAGCTCAAAGAGTTGTGTGGGTGTGAAGTGTGGAGTCACTGTGTGACACAGAGGGTTGGACTGGATGGGCCACCGGCCTGATCCAACATTGCTTCTCTGTATTTTTGGTCCTTGGGGGGCCACAGTGGGAGGGCTTCTGGAGTTCTGGCCCTGCTGGTGGACCTCCTGATGGCACCTGGGCTTTGGCCACTGTGTGACACATAGTGTTGGACTGAGTGGGCCACTGGACTGATCCCACATGGCTTCTCTTACATTCTTATGTCTGGGGCAGTGATGCTCTGTACTCTTGGTTCTTGGTGGGGTGGCAAGAGTGGGAGGGTGTCCGGAGTTCTGGCCCTGCTGGTGGACCTCCTGATGGCACCTGGGTTTGGGCCACTGTGTGACACAGAGGGTTGGACTGGATGGGCTATTGGCCTGATCCAACATGGCTTCTCATACGCTCTTAAGTGCCGTCAAGTTCCCTTATGGTGACTTATGGTGACCCTGCCCTATCAGTAACAGCATTGCTCAGGTCTTGGAACTGTGGGCTGACTTATGGTGACCCTGTAAATTAATGACCTCAAAATGTTCTATCAGTAACAGCGTTGCTCAGGTCTTGGAACTGTGGGCTGTGTCTTCCTTTTTTTTTAATCATTTGAACCAAAAATAGTGGTATTGATATCCAACAGTGTACAATAAAAGAACCAAAAGGCAGTAGGAAAGACTGGGTAATACAAACAAACAGTAAAAAACCTCCAAGATGAGTCATAAACATAGCAATCGATTGCACAACTTCAAGAGATCAGTAGGATCGACACCAGTTTGGTGTAGTGGTTAAGTGCTTTTCACCTTGGAGGAAGCTTTGAGCTCACTAAGAGAGACTTTTTGCAGCGCTCATTGAAAAATTTGGATACATATTTTGGTGTTTGGCAACCTAGTGCTTGGAAATAGCTGTTGAACTCCCCGAGGAAGACACTGAAACAAGAGGATATCTGGGCCTCTGTTGGGGGAAGACTGAGCACTCATTCAGAATAGACGTAAAGGAGTCCTCCCTCTTAAAACTTTTGTAGAATTAAAGAGGACTGATATTAATAAAGGGGTTGTGCAATATCTTTTGTGATATATTAAGAGATGACACTTAGATGTTTTGCTATATGATTCCTTCTATGTATTGGCTTATATGATAAATAACATATGGTGAATAAATTGTAAATATATATAAATACATTATTTGAGATATTTTATAATCGTCTGTAGCACGGTATTTGCTGATTTTTGGTATTTCCTACTTACCGTGGGTCCTATTTTGGTTTTGTGAGTTCTTGAAAAAGAGCAGTTTCTTTCCAAGCTCTCTCAGCCCCACCCACCTCACAGGGTGTCTGTTGTGGGGAGGGGAAGGGAAAAGAGTTTGTCAGCCGTTTATTTATTTATTTATTTATTTGACTTTTACCCTGCCGTCCCGCCTAGGCGGCTTACAATAGTTTAAAAACCAGTATAACAATTAATACGATATCCAGCCTAAAACAATACAATCAATAAATTATCCAAATACAGCTTATTAAAAATTAAGATTAAGACGTGGCGGCCATCTGTTATAAAGTGCTAGAACAGTCAGTGTGGTCTGAGCTACTGAAACGCTTGCCGGAACAGCTCGGTGTTTACCGCTCTACGGAATTGATGAAGATCCCGCAGAGCTCAGATTTCATTTGGGAGCTGATTCCATAGTACTGGTGCAGCTAGGGGAAATGCCCTAGTTTTTGTTGATGTTAACTCAGCGTCCCTAGGGCCAGGGGGGACCAAGCGATTTTGCGACTCGGATCTCAGTGCCCTTGGGGGAACGTACGGGGAAAGGCGGTCCCTCAGGTGGACAGGCCCCAGACCATTTAGGGCTTTAAAGGTTATAACCTTTCAGGAACACCAGGGCTGAGAATCGTATTATCCTTTTGCTGAATATGACGAGATCTTTTCCATAACATAGGATCTCCATACTTTATCAACCCATAGAGAGATCGATGGGGGCAATTTGTTCTTCCGTCTTGTAGCTATTGAAGCTCTAGCAGCTGCTAATAAAAACTTACTAGAGTTTTGGTTGACCAAGGTAGTCTGCGCCCAGGCCATAATGATAGTAGTAGAAGACTGGTCGCATCGGTAGGGAGGCCCCAGTGATGGCCTTTGTGGCTTCCTTGACTGAGTCAACCCCTCTCCCGTTGGGCCCTCCTCTTTCCCTGCCGCCTTCACCTTTTCCTCGCATGACTGTCTTTTCCAATGAGTCTTGTCTTCCCATGATGTGACCAAGGTATGATAGCCTCAGTCTAGTCATTATAGCTTCTAGGGAAAATTCCAGAATCCACTGATTTGTCTTTTTTGGAGGTCTGTGACATCCGTTAAACTCTCCTCCAACGTCACGTTTAAAGGCGGAGGAGGGGAGGAGCTTTCATGAGTCACGGCTCACTTGTTCTGATACTTCTAGAATGTGAGTTCATCTGTCCTTATATCACAAGGTTGATAGGTTTTCATTCTGGAAGTAAAGGTAAAGGTTTCCGTTGCTTGAAAGCCAGTCGAATCCGACTGTCAGGAGCCACAGTCAAACAGTTGAGCGCACGTTTCTAGGAAGGTTATACTTTACTGTCAGTACTATGGTTGCAGGAACATGTTCACTATTAGGAATAACTACCATCCAGAAAGAAGATAGAGACATAGGGCATTCAAATGCACCCCCACCTATGGGCCAATCGGCCTGACTCCCGTGGGCGGGAAAGAGGACCAGGGCAGTTAGAGCCGAGGCTGGGAAACGAAACTAGTCTCACGGTTAATTGATGTGAAGACACTACACAGGCATGCTACAAGGTCAGCGATAACGAGGGGAGAAGTGT